TACTGTTTTTTGTTTTTCACATCATTTTTCCTTTAAGAGCATGCAAAAGATGAGCACTTAACCACATTGAGGGTTAGAAACTTGAAGGAATGTATAGCTTACTTTAGGATGGGGTGTAATGTAACTAGCCACACCCATTGCCATTCACACCACCTTTACAGATTCACATCTTACATACATTAGAGTCCAAAGAGACTTCCACAAGGCTGAAATGAAGATTAATTGACTGCTTTCTCTCCAGAAGTCCCCCAACGGTATTCATAAAGACCTTATCAGGTGATTTTTGATGCCACTAGAATAATGAGGAGGCTGGTACTAGTTCCCCAAATGATACTCAACAAGGGAGATTGGCACTAGCCCACAGATGATGCTCCTATCCTATACCAACAGTTACCAAGACAACGAGTGAAGGTATGATCATGTGACTACAGCTAATTTACAAGCAAAAGCCAATCAAATCCTAGTGCCTGTGACGTCATTGGATTTAGTAATAGCATTAAGGACGTTCATGGGCATTGCTCGTGCGCATCCTTTCTGCGCATGTGATGAGGTCATTCAAATGTTTTGTGAGCAAAATATCAAGTTTTTTGCTTCTTGAAACTCTCATAGGTCTGAAACAAAGTAAATGACGACGTTTTTTGAAATTACATTATGCAACCGAACTTCAAAGGAAAAATATAAAAAACTGACGTTGAGGTTAAAACGAAATCACATATTTTGTGAATAATTTGAGTAAAATTTTCCACATGAAGTGAAGACTACAATTCCACACTTGTAGTAACGGCACAAGAGTACTTCATGTTCCTAATTTTCAAAATAAAGTTTAAATTGTGTAAGCTGAATCATTAGGTCATTTTCTAAAGTTMTGTCAGGAAAATGAGGACGTTCAATTTATTCTTTTAGAATGAAATGTGGCTTTTTTGAAAGCTTTCCGTTTTTGGATTGCTCGCGCGTTTTTACCGCAAAAATATGGAACGTCCACACAAACTGATGGCCAATGGATAGATGTCGGTGGCCTCCATTTTTTGTTTGCTTATTTTACTTCTAGTACTTTCGTAGTACACTTTCACTATACTTCACCATATTTCAGCCAACTTTTAAAAAAATCTGACGATGGGATCTTTCGCGAATGAACACCTGTATGTACTCTGGCTCCTTGAGGTGGTTTGACGACTAAAGTTGTTTGCTTTGAATGGTCTATTTGTTTTCCTTCTGTGAGTACTTTTAACGAAACGGTGCCTGCACACGGACGACATGATAACRACATAATTATAAAGCTAATATTACTCAATACGGAAAAAAGTAGGTAACTTTTCGTGAATGTATACCTATTAAAGTAAATGTTTTATTTACCAGTATATAAGAGCAACAGAACAAAACCGATATAAAAAATGGGGAAAAGCATTGCCACATAAAACACTGTCTCTTTTTTTCCGTCAGTACCGTTTATTCAAGGTTGCGTGCGCATCCAACTTGACGGGCCACAAAAAATTCAGTAAAAGCCAGTTTTATATTTAAAGAGGAGAATGATACATCTTATGAATTCTTATCGGAAAAATGCGCACGCAACCTTGAGAAATTGGTCTATTGAGGCGCAATTTTCTGTCTATTCTGACCACGTTTTGTTGACGAAATGCACCCGGCAACTGTCGCGGAATCGGTGCAGGTCSTATGCGAGTAGAGTTTTTGGTTGGTTTTCTCCTGTGATTCGAACACATTTCTCCAAGTTATTCGGGTTCTTTTCCTTCGCGGATTAATTTATCTTCTAAATTCTAACTCGATCTGGCGTCGAGTACTTTAAGGTTTATCCTTTCTCTCTTTCATTACATTTTTTTTCTTTCCTTCCTTCATTGATTCTCTCCCTTCCTTCTCTCTCTCTTTCCCTCTCTAATTCTTTTTTTTTTTTTTTTTTTCCCTTCCCGCTAAACCAAAATGTTCATTAAGTCATATTTGGTGACTTTGGTTTTCTCACTAGGCGCCGTGCCACTAATCACTGGAGTCAGTCAGGATCCCTAGATGAAAGGGAGGTGCGCCAGGATGTGACTCTGTAGGATAGGATTGCTGCTGTGCAAATAATACATGTTTTATCCATTTACTACTTCAAACAGACTAATTAAACATCCTTGCCTCACTCTGTTCACTCTTAATCAAGCAAATAGTGCAGTACATTAAAAAAATCTCACACCCTTGGAAAATCGTAACCTTGAACTCCCTATAAATTTCTCATGATATTTTCTTTTTGTAGCCACTAAAAAGTCTCCGTAAGAATGCAGCTAGTACATAGAAAATAAGCTCRAACCATGAGGACCGATTTTCTTATTAATCTATACGTGTTCGCGTAGTGTTAGTGAAGAAAACAAGATATTGCTCGGCTGTCATGTTCCATGATTTTGTTGATATTATTTGTCGGTAAATCAGCAAAAGAAAGGAATGTTGGAGTACCACATTCACTGGGGTTTGTATTGTCGTTAGTGCTTATCATGACGTCAAAAAGTACTTATGTCAAGGAGGAGAATCCGCTTGCTTCTACTGTTTCAATACTCCAAATATATTATCAGTACTTTTTCTAAAGGAATTATCTCTCCTTCTTGGAATACGTGAGCTTTTGTTATCTTTTTTCGTATTTTGTTTTTCTTTTAAACTTTGTAATAAGAATTTGAAACGTGAAAAAATTTGAAAACGTGAGGTTTTGTTATCTTTGTTTTATTTTTGATTTAAACTTCCTAAAAAGAAATTTTAATTTCTATTTTTGAAAAACTCCGGTYGTATCACACTGATGTTTAGTTCAATTAATCTGGAAGGACACATATAGTTTCGAAATCATTATATTAAAAGCGCACCTTGAGCTGAAGCCATTTTGTTTAGCTTTTCTGACTACTCCTGTCCAGAGACTTCCTCTTTTCTCCTTGAGCTTGATCTTGATTTTTTCAAATCTGTAGATTTTTGGTCGACTCTCCTCTAGCAAAAGAGCGTTGTTTTGATTGATTTTTCGCAAAAGCAGTTTTTAGCAATGTATCCGATCCACTGTATAGTTAGTTGCCTTAAGGAACTAAAACTAAAAATAATACACTCTTTATGGGAAAATGCTTTGCGAAATGAATAGATGAGAGTTAAACTAGTAATTAGATGTGTTTTTCAAGTACCTTCTATAGTGTAATGGCGTAAATAGCTCTTACAAGTTAAAACCCCTTTACTTAAAACAATGGAAATGAAGATAACCCCTAGAAGGATAAGTGACACTTGTGCTGCACTGTCTCCTGAGTAAATGAAGTCAGTGCTTTATCATTATGGATTGAAAGGGATTCTCTTCAAAAGCTTAGTATATGGGTATATATCTCAAATGTTTGAAAGTTTTAGGGATATGGTGAAGATTTTTCTTGCATATTACATGCCAAGCTCGAACTGCACTATGGGCCATGTGAATGCACTCTGCAAAAGCCGTCACAACGATTGTAAAAATTTCGTAAACTTTGTCTGCCCGTCTTCGCCAACCTCTTTTAGAATAGCTTTACACAGGCAGTATTCTGTTTGTATTGGTGTATGTACAAAGGCTAAAATCTGTATTAGTTTGAGGTCAAGCATAACTGTTATTTTATTTGTATCCTGATCCAGGTGTCAAAACRAGCACGCGCGCAATACTAATTTGAATAAATACATTCATTCATCTGCTCGTTAAGAGGCCTAATCCAACATAAGACAACAAAAAACAGCTCGGCTTTAACTGAGGTTATTTTATAAAGCATCCCTTTATAAATTATATATAAATATTGATTAAATATTGATTACTCTTTCTTCAGGATAATGATAACTAATCAAAAATTCGTTCTTATGATATTTCATATTTTAGCACATTGGAAAAACGCTTTATTTATTGAAAGTGATTTTCTTATTTAGATGTTTTGCCACGACAAAGGCAACAATATTTTTCCAATGGAAAAAAATGCAATAAAGATGTATTGTATTGTATTGTATTGCAACATATTCAAGTATTCAAGTTTTCTCTGAAGCTGTAATATTAGGTCGTAGGCGTATATGTATATACTGAGTCGTCTTCTATTTAGGCGTAATGATATAAAACGCTACAATGCATCCTCTGTCGTAACAAAATTAATTCTGAAATGACGTTGTCAATGCAACGCGACGAGAGAAAAAAAGCGTACCACCAAACGAAAAAAAAAGTCAACATGTTTTTACAAGTATTAAAAAAATGACGTAATGGAATAAATATTATTCAATTCTCCAGAGACTTGCTTAACTTCAAATTGTTCCTAAATGTTTTCTTCTCTTATTTGTATCGTTCGTGCCCACTTTACAATGACAGTATGAGTTCTTTCTAGCTGCTTCTTTATTTTCAAAAGGATGATCCCAAACAACAGTAATTTGCAATTGTAAATGTGGAAACGAAATATTATGTTTTTAGGCCATTATATTTATTAGCCAAACAATAAAGTATTTAAAAACATTGATATCCGGATTTGAAACTGCAAGATATTCCTTTTAATGTAGTCATTTTGAAATTAAAATAGGTATTTTGAGTTTTTTTGTGTACTTTGAATTAATGAATGACTTGGTAGGTTAAAGGAAGAGGCTCGCGCTCCAAACTTTCGCAATCATTGGTTTATCAACCAAGATAACACATATTGATCAGTATACCTCAATAAACATCACAATGAATAAAAAAGGATTAAAAAGAAAAGAAATGACAGTTTTCAAGAGAATTATTAAGATAAATCGACAATCTACAAGCTGAGTTTTCTTTCATTATAATGGATTTGGAACTGCTAAAAATGAAAAGAAAATCAATGAAAATTTTACTGTCGCTTTGTTTATGTATTATTTTTTTACCTCAATAATAAATTAACTTAAAACTAATGTTTTAGTCATTATATATTAAGAAAGATAGAATATTATAAATTGGATAAAAAGTTTTAAGACTTTAATGTTAATCAAAATAAATTCTCTAGTATAAATAAAAATGTATGATTTTCTTTATTTTTCTAAGTGAGATATCCGAGTCGAAGATCTTAAAAATAAGGCCTTGATAGCAAATTTAAATTCTCTGTTTCGGAGAACGTAAATTAAGGGGTCAAGAAGAGAGTTTAAAAATGATATAGGTAAGGATAGCAGCCAGAATTCTCCAAAGGTATAGGCATTGCATTTGTAGCTTTTAGTGATGAAAAAGTGAAGGATTGACACGAGAGTGTTAGGAAGCCAGCACAGGATAAATGTACCAACTATCATAGCGACAGTCGTTGTGGCTTTGCGTTCCTTTTTGAGTCTAGCACTATCGTTTCCACGATTTTGGACCACTGTTGTGTCATCATTATTAACAAAGGCGCTAGGGCTATTCGCCTTAATTTGCTTCTTTTGTCTAAGAACTACTTTATAGATTTTCCAGTAGCAGTAACTCATGAAGGTGATCGATGGCACAGGAACTGCTAGAGCCGGGATGATGTAAACTGTAGGCCTTTCCTCGTAACTTGAATCCATAAAACTTAGCGCTGAAAGCCCCGTCGACGCAACCCAAATGGTAGTTATTATGCTCACACATTTTTTGTCTGTCATGATAACAGTATACAGCAATGGGGACTTTACCGCGATGTGACGATCGTAACTAATGGCGCAGAGGTTCAGAGTTGATCCTATGAGAGTTTGCATGATGAGAAAATCCAACACCATCCCAAAAACTGGGAATCGAACATGGTAAGGCCACTTCAATGCCCCAAAGAAAAACAAAGGACAGATAAATAAACCCATTGACAAGTCAGTCAACGCGAGGGAAGTCAGGAAAAAATTTGTCTTGGTTCTCAAAGACGGTGTTTTAAAAACTGCAGCTAAAACCAGGCCATTTGCAAGCGTTGACAAAACTCCCAAGATCAAAGAAAGCACAGCAATAGCTGTCACAAGCGTTGGGTTTAAATAGTGATAGTTGGTCCATTCTTCAGCCACGGATCTTAAGCATTTTATAGGCAAGGCTACGTTACCAAGGCTTGTATTATTCATGATGTGTACTTGTTGGAGTTGGTTGATATTCTCTGTGTGATGAAAGACTGCCAGTTCCACAGTAGCTTTTCCCCAGTGAAAATCCTCACGATGAAGCGTGATGTCTACTTGTCTCGGTGGTTTTTTATAAGTGCTGTAGACTAAGTGGTTCTAGTGATGTTTCATTACATATAGCGCAGGTGAAAGCCAATGAATACAGATGTTATCATTTCTCAGTTTGACACATGATCCAGCTCTACGAATCAGGCGATATTTGCTTCGTATCCCGCAATCTATACGTCAACCACTGTACAACAATACTCCCTAGAGTTATTCACGAGGATCTGAAGTTTGAATGATTTACAATCGCAATAACTAGGGGACCGCACTTTTGAGCCCTCAGTAAAACTAATTGAGGATCTATGGGGCTTTCTCTTTCAAGTATCGCTGTTCTAAATTTAGGATCATCACAAGTCGACACAATTTTCAAAATGCTTTAATTAAGGGATTATTTGCTGTCAATGAATTTAATTTGACCGGCTTAGTTTTATTTATCATACTAAATTAGTAATTTGTTCAAAATGAGCCATTTTTTTGCGAGATAGCCTACGAGATTTGAAAATAATTATCAACTTTACATCCCAATTTTCGAGTCTGTTTGGGTACATTAGAACTCCTAAAAATACCGTCTAACCTCGACAAATTATTGATTGCAAAAGGTACTTAGAACATTATTCACTGCCGGTAAGAAATAGAGCAGTATTTATTTATCTAGATGTGTCCGGAACACTGAAGTTAAAATTGAGCGGCTTTATTGATAGAGTCAGTTGCCATGGAGATGTCCTTTACAAAGTTTTCAACTTTTTTCCTAAGAATTTGTTGTTTCTTTCACTTTTGATTATTTTTCGCCTGTAGTTTTTGATTGTAGTGTTCTTGTTCTGAATTACTGTACGTGTTTACAGGAGGCCGGAGTTACGTTCTACGCTATTTATTGGTCGGCGTTTTTCTTCGCTTTTTTCTTAGCATTCTACACGCTAATATAATGCGATAAATTTAACGTAGCATCCTCTCGCGATATTGTTCATTCGTATTTGTTCATACTTAGTTAGTCCCTGCTTCCTACCTACACAACGATGTCAACCTGGCGACCCTTGTCCCTCTAACTAAATACGTCGAATATTTTGACATCCACGCATGCGCTCTTATACTTTCATAGGAATTCGTCGCTGTCTTTCCTTAACATACATAAGGATTTTCCAGTGATCTTACAAAGCCTTTAAAAATACTTTTAAAGGCCTTGGTTACTCCCTAGGAGACCACTGTTGGGTGTCTTTCTTAAAGTCTCATTGATATTGGAGTAACTTGTACTAATCGCTATCTCGTTAAAAATCAGTCTTGCACGCGTAAAGTTACTCACGCGTTGTCGTGACTCTTACCACTAAAGAATTAAGCCTCTTTTCATGTTCGGTGTTCAACTCTTAAACTTGTTTAACACAGGAAATGGACTTAATAAAAGTTTTAAAGGAGCTCCATTAAGAGCAAAAATCAATGCTTTATTTATTTGGCTTTAAATTCAAAGGATTTGAAAAGTCGGACGAAGCAAAGGGCGTCCGCTTTGTCTTCCACGCTAGATAGAAATCAACTTTCATTAATGCTTCGGAGCGCCATTCAGTAAATTTTTGTTCTTAACAATTGATTTGCGTCAACTACATTCAAATAAGATTTATTACAAAGGTATTATAATTGAGTACAATTGACAGTGTAGTTAAAGAAACAAAAGCCGAATACTAGCTGCTCTATTCGTATTCACCACACTTAAAACTATACATAAATCTTGTCATGTTATGCCCGATGGCGCCCAAGAATTGTTTTGAAAACCCTTACTTATGTTACATTAATGAGAGAAGRAAAAAAATGAGCAATAATATAGCCTTTGCTTTTATTCGCATAGCTTTGTTTCAATTGTATCGTTTAAAATAAGCTGTTAGTTACAGATAATATTTGTAACATTTGAACTTTTGGTTATCGGCTGCCTTTTTTTAATTAAAAAAAATTAAGTTTGAATAATTGTAACAGTCTTGTGAAGCAATGACTACATATAATGGTTTTCTATAAGCAGCAAAATCTGAAATCACCCGTCATTTTTCATCTTTTATTTTTGAACTGAATTTCGTGGTTTAGTCCTAGAAATTTCGCCTTTTTTATTTTTTATTATTTATCTTAATGATTATTCTTCGATGAAGAAACTGGTTATGTTTACATTGATAAAACAAATAGTTCTTTATTGAATTGAGCCAAAAGAAGTTCTTTATTTGAAATGAAAGGAGTGTTTTTGTATACCGAATGATCGAGAGCCTGTCATTTCAAATTTTGAAAACGACTTCACTTTGTGGACTCATTGCCATCAAAAGTACCTCTGTGTGTGGTAAAATGCGCTAATGATTCAAAAACCTAAACGAAAACGGAGGAAATTGGCGTCTTCAAAAGTATCAACTTTTCTAGTAATTATAGAATGTTAAAAATATGAGAAAAGCGGTTATTTATGAATGCCTGGGTTTGGGGGGCTCTTAAAATTATTGTTTTGATTACACCCCTTCCCCCTTTGCTGATTTTTATAGCCGCCATCTTGAACTAATTGGGGAAAGATTTTTTCAATAGTCTGTTTTGCTTTATCAACTAACATGGCCTCCATATTTTTTCTTGTGTCATTCTCGTGAAAATTATGATTGCAAGGCACCTTTTACCACCTTTTAACGAGCTTTAAAAAACCTTCCCTTTGAAAAATTATCGACCCTATTCTCTCCAAGATGGCAAAAATATTTGAAAGTCCATCAGTTCGTCCGTTCGTTTGTTCGTTCGTCCGTTCCTCCTATCGTTCGATAGTCGTTTTGATACTTAACAATTTAGGCCTGATGCAAACGTCGAACTTTCCATGCACCGAACTTAATTACATCAAAGAATGCAGCCTCATTATCACCTGATATCCATTGTTTTTAATGAGTTCGGTGCATGGAAAATTCGACGTTTGCCCTAGGCCTTAGAAATTTTGTGTATTGATCCTAAATAGTAGTATATTTTATTTTAAACTCTTGATTGAGCGTTATATAACACATGCAGGTGAAAAGGAAAATTGTATAAAAATACATTATCTCTACAACGACCCCCTTACTCGGAAGTTTGGAACCCCCCTTTTTTTAAAGAAATATAACAAAATAAAGTGTAACTAATTATGAGAACATCTAATTAAGAAACAATCTCATACAAGTCATTACTCGTCACTTCATATTTTATTCTCATTCGTTCATTGTCAATGACCACCTTAGTATGTCATAATCTCCTTAAGTAAGTGCAGATTACTTGCAGGGTTGCCATGGTTTCTATATTTAGAATGTTGGGTTCAATCACGCGAAATGAAGCAGCATGTAATAGAGTGCGCATGTTCAAATAAGACGCGTATCTACGCTCTGCGTATCTACTTAAGTAGACGATTTTTAAACGTGTGAATGTTAGGGCGGTTAAAATTACGAGTTCATCTTTGCTCAGCCTTAGCCTCGATTGCGTACAAATATGTTTATTTAGAATGTACATACTAAGGAACAATACGCGTTTAACGCACAACCGAGACTAAAAAGCTGAGCAAAGAGAACTCTCAACAAGAGTATTGCAAATTTGATACTAATCTTTTAATACATACGTCCGTATTAAATTTTTTTGACTGACAAAATGAAAAAACAAGATGAATAATGAGCCGGTTAAAGCTAAGGCTCAGATATACTCTTTATCGTCTCTTTTATTCATGATCATGATATATAAATACTTCAGAGAATCGCTAAAGGTGTTTCCCAGCATCTGGCTCAGACTAGGACACCCACGAAATATGGCGGCTCTTCCAGCAACAACTTCGTTATGACGCCTTGCTAACTGTTGAAAGCTTGACGGAGAACTCCTGGCGTCGAACTGCGCAGTTTGAGGTTTGCGGGGCTAGCAAGAACGTCGTGCTAAAGGCAGATTAAATTTTCATAGTTTTTGAAGTAACTCTTCAAGGTGTCTATTTACACTAACCTCTCGTATATCTCAGTACATTAAAGTTCTTTTTTTATTCTTATAAAGCCATTATATATTGTCTTTGTGACTTTATTTATATGTAATTTGAGTAATGTTTATATCCGACGCTTTGCACCTGCTTTGGTGTTGGTTCAGGTGATGGTGAATCTTATGTACTTATTGACTGAGTGGGAGGGCCGTACGGGAAAATATTTGAAATAGTAAATAAAAGCTAAAAAAGAGAAAGCGCGCGGACCCGAGCAGGGCCGTACAGATACGTACGGCCCTGCTCGCTCAAAGCCGTACGGCGCTGCTCACGCCATTTTCCCGAAGGTTTTTCTAATAGCGCGCGCCCGGGCAGATACGAGTCATATTATAAAATGACATATGACATATTTGAACACAACTCTCTATAAGCAAAATGCTATATTTCTTAACAATACTTTATTATTTATTATAGAGCGCTAGTAGATTTGTACAAGTGGGTTTACAGAATATTCTGGGGTCTATCATCAATGCGGCGTTCTGATTGGACATAGTTAATATTAACTATGGATTGGATGAGCTATACTACTAGGGCTACGATAAGTTATATCTCAGTACTAGTAGCGGAAAAGTGCCGGCTTTAAAAACCAAAACATTGAATTTAACTTTAATTCAAAACTTGTTTGCATCTAAATATTTGACCGACCAGTTGGATTTGAGTAAAACAATTAGTCCTCTCGTCCTCATGGCCTATGAGTCAATAGCCCATTCAGCCTTGAGGAATAATTGCTAAATAGCGAACCACAGTATGTAGCACTGGTAATATCACTATATAAATAGTAATATTTTTAGCAGTATTAAGTTTGTTACTGCGCAAGCTCAAATCAGAGGAGAGTTTATATAGCACTGGGAGTATCGCTATAAATAATATTTTAAAAATATTTTTAGCAATACTACAAGTTTGTTATGCAGCTGAAYTATGCTCAGTTTTCAATTCCAACTCCCACATACACGTTTTAAGAATCTGACAGATTAAGTCCGAGGGGTAATTCCACCTCCCACACGTCCCAAAAATCTGACGCAGATTAAGTTCGAGGCGTAGATATAGCGAAATACAACGTACTTAGGATGTTAAATCGTGGAAATCGCTAATTAACATATCATCACATGAAACGGCACAAAGTAGTCATTCAAAAAAATTGTTTCCATGTAAAAGAGGTTTATTTTGGTTGAATCCTCCCCTGTCAGCTTTATCAAGATCGATAACATTGGTATTATAACTTAATTCGCAAAAAGGTTATTCACCATTCCAAGGTTGAGGAAAACTGGGTCGAGTTAGAATTACAGTGCATCGTGGGATTGTTTTAGGAGACGAAATAGACGCCATCTTGGAAATATTCAACTTTAAACAGCCCCAAAATGCATTGCAATGCCAAATCGACTCACTTTTTTTTCTCAGCCTTGGCATGGCTAATACCGTGAGAGAACGGAGCCCATGGGAATGCCAAGAACAAAGTGCAGTATGGGTAATTCAGTCTCAAACGTCAACAAATTCTATTGAAACCATATAATTTATTACTCTCTATATTTATAATTTTCGTTAATTTGCCTGAAAGAAAATCAAATTGCCGAGAATATTTTGATTTATGTTCATAATATAATACGTTGTTGGCAAATCCTTCACTCTCCTTATCGATGCGGAAAACTGACGAGATAGAAAGTTCTTCACGTCGCCACAGATAGAACAAAAAGAATACGTGTGTCGGTTATGTTTGAAAGAGATTAATCAACCCTTCACATCTAGAGGATCCCTTTTGACGTGGATTAACATGGCTTCCGTCCTTTTTTTAGTAAAATTGGTGTTGTGAGATTTTATCGACAAAATACGCAGATTACATGTAAGAGTTTTGTAGATGATTTGTATCGCATTTTATTGCGATACTGTTTGTTTTCCTCTCGAGTTTTTGTCTTATTTCTAAGATATTTTTTTCAAAATTTTAGATTATTTAGCTACCAAGACTCTTAAATGGCTTCCCGAGGCTTGAACCAATCAAAAAGCGTGGGCGAAAAAAAAAACACCGTCCAATCAAGATGCACACTGTACGGTTAGGTTTGTTGAGTCAATGTTCGAGAATAATTCCTATTAGAGCAGATTTAATTTGTATCAGCTAGAAAAGGATACCGCGGCACTTTATCTTACCGTAGCCGTAACTACGCGTTGTGGTTGGATGAGTTACTGAATTACGATATGTCGTACCGTGTACGTGCTGTAAGTCAATACCGTTTGTTTCCCACTCATACAAAAAC